GAAACAACAAAGAAGACTTTTTTATAGGCTGATGCAACCGTGAAGGCAATGATGGCAATGAAGGGAGGGATGTTGAGGAAGGATAATGTGAAGATAATCACCACCGTGGGAGCAAAGTACAACCCTTGAAGGGAGAATTTGAGACGTAGGATGCTGTCCTGAATAGAAACACGAAGAAACTGACCCAAACATGTCAAAAACAACATAGATAGACTTAAGGTAACTAGGAGTAGACAACACTCTCACATAAGAAAGGGGACATGCTGGCCTTTAATCTTTCTAAACTTAACCGGTCCAGATATTAGGTGTGTTCCCGCATCTACTGGTAGACTCCCATGTCAATTATTGTACATTATAAGGGCATTGAAATCAATCCCTTTAAGCAGGCAAATATCTTAAGACAACTTCGCTCTCTATAGGAGCTTGTTAAGAAGTTTTTGACAACATAAATAAATATTGATTGTAATCTACTACTCTTGCAGCATTGATTCCAAGAAAGCTGCTTATTTTATATGTGACAGTCAATTGTGAGAATGTTTGAATATTTCCATTATTATGTCAAATTAATGAGAATGGTTGAATATGCCCATTATCATGTCAGTCAATTGCTAATAGGAGAGAAGTTAGACTACTCACATACCTAGAAACAATGTGATGGCAATCTTTACTTCACAAAATTTTCGTCATTGTATTTTAGTCCAAAAAATCTATGATCTCTTAAGTGGTTCATGTCAAATTTTAATGAGCAAAACACTCTAACCCGCAGTCTAGTAAGGTGGATGGTATATTTGTTTCAATTCAAGATCACATATGTCTTGTAAAAAGGCTGTGAAAAGTTAGGCTCTGGCTGATTACTTAATAGTACCTTTCATTTTTATGCGAGTTTAAGTGCTATTCAGCTCGACTCATCAAACCAATAAGTCAAAATTCGATATATTTTTTAAAATTTATTTATTTATTGAGCTGAATGCTAATTCACGAACATAAATTCTATTGAAAGTCATATCTATATTTGTAGAGTATACTTGTTATTTCATATATCTACATATATATCTGTATTAGTATACACGTGCAATTATAAGTGTACACAATGTACACAAATAATTGAGCTATAATTAAAAAGTTTAAGTTTATGTTTGCCTTGTTAGGTAGACAGACCCACAAAACTAGTGAGTTCGAGCTTATTGTCAAACCCTGTAAGTTTAAACATGAGCAATGAGCTTTTTTGTTGGCGCTTAATCATCATTTGGTGATTTTCCGCTTAATAATGAACTACAAGATGAGCGAACTTCAAAATGGAAGCTTTATTTCAATGGAGTATCATTAATGAAACCAACTAAACAACTAAGTATTGCAGAATGTGTGCTCCATTTTGATGAATTATTATCAGTGTGAACAACAAAATTACCAAGTTTTCTAATGATATAGATCTTGGTTGGTCTCAAATCATAATATTGCAAGCAGGTATCCTTTGATATTTATATGGCTGATCAGAATATTGCTCAAGTAATGAGATTGAATATGAAGCAACAATAGTAGGCCTTGAATTTGGAATCATATTTGAAATCAAGAAGCCCCATATATATAGGAACTTCCAACTCATAAACAGATAGCAAGTGCTTTTAAGATCACTGGACTTGAGTTAGTTCCTATTATAAATGTACTGAAGCTTCTATAAAATATCCCTAAGGTAATCTTCCCAGAAGTTAACCATTGTTAGAATCGTAAAGTCAATTCACTTGCTTGTGTAGCCAAGGAAAGGATAGATCTTTCAAAAGAATCCCATCATTATAAATTTTTTAAAGAACGCAAATATCAGCACCTACTATTTTGCATGCTATGCAAACTCGGGAAAGTCAAAAGACTATGGCTGTAATTGAAGAGGTTGATTAGAGGTAATTTTTCCTTTCCGACTTTCGTATGAAAATGAAGATCACAATCAAATGCATATGATATTACTTGGCCAATATGGTCAAAGAGTGCATTGATTTTGGGAAGATTTTTTTTCCATTGCCAAATTCATGGAGAAATCCTACATAACACCCCCAACCTTAGGGCATTAATTTATCCAAGTTACCGCTAAATTTTTCTCGAAGTAGATTAAAGCAATTTTTTACAAGTTAAAGCATGCAATGTGATGAAATTCTTTTTAGACTGCATCTATTATCAATTTGGAATCTCATTCTAAATCATCTCTTTTGGCGGAACTACCTTTAAATGCGCTGAAGATTTATTGGTATGTCAAATGATATGAGAGAGATTGACATTAATCTATAATACATAACTCAATAGCTATTTATTTGTCTACAGCATTCAAGAAAGCCTCAACAAAATTGTTGAAGAAATTTCTCTCCAAAATATAAGAGAGAATGGCATGGCAAATTAACAGAAGCTCTATAGGTTCATCACACCACAAAAAAATTGCTATGCATTTTACTCAGTATTCAATTATGTTTGGAATGGAGGTGATAACTCCATTTCGAGGTTAAACCACGATTGTTCCATATTTCCATCCAATATTTAGACTAGTCGGAGGAAATGTTCAACTATGCTTGAGGAGCTGGAAGAATGACCAGTGATCATGTGTAACATTTGGTTTCAATACTTGTAACACCAACTTTTCATAAGCTGGAAATGAAGCGGAAGAGATGAGACATATGAAATAAATGGAGATGAAATGAAATGGGGAAGAAAGAAAAAACGGAGAGAAGAGAGCAAGAAAGGTAGAGAAGGGAGAAAAAGTCTCATGCGTAACCCTAGTGATGAAACTGCATGCGTGAAGGAAGTTGAAAGGCAAAATTGAGAGACAGAAAGAGAGAGAGGGCCACAAGCAAAAAGAAGAAGAAGAAGAAGAAAGAGAAGGAAGAAGAATATTTACCTTCGTGAGGCGAGGGTGACAATGATTGCAATTGAAGCTGAAGGAACAGTGGTTGTCGAGCAGGCGAGGGCTACGACATGGGAAAGTTGAAACCGAGACCGACCCATGCAAGGTCGAAGCAGAGAAGTGGAGAAAGAAGGCATTGAGTCTGGGAGTGGGAAAACCGAACCGAACAGGCTTGGGCACAGGAGAAGGGCAGTCGAATGAGCTTGGTAAGTTAAGGTTTTGTTTAAGTTAATATGAATATTATTTAATGAATAGTTATGTATATATTTTGTGATATATGCAAGCGATATAGAAATATGAGAGAAATGATTTTCGATTATTCTAATTTTGAAAAAAAATTAAATGCTAATAAGAATAAAAATAATTAAATCATGACATAATACTTGATATTAAATTAATAGTAAATAAATAATGATACTATTTGAAGAAATAAATTTAAAGATTTAAATAAAATATTAAAGTAAAAATAATAGTCATAGATTTAATTCTTATAAACATTTTTTTAAGGGTGTCAAACTGAAGGAGGCGAAATCAGATTTAATGATTAGATGTACAATTAATTGAACGAGGTAAGTACTCTTAATTTTAAGTTTATTAGTTTTTCTTTCTTCTAAACCGAATTCATTGATTGTTACTAAACATAATTGCTTCATGTTACTGTGATTTATATGCTCTTTTAGATTTTGGTCATATTTGATGAATATATATTTTAGAAATACTAATGTTATGTATTATTTTAAAGTAGAATTAAATGAAAGGAACATATGACTGATATGAACCGCATAGATTGATTGTATGTTTATGTTTAACTATTATGAAGTTAATCTCTTTATGGTACTAGAGGGGGAATGCAAAAGTTCTTGTGTACGTAAATAGAAGATGATATTGATATTGATATATCTTCATTGTTACAATTTTTTTAATGATGCTCCTGTAGAAGTTGTACAAATATACAATGCTATAGATTTTATGATATAATAAACCATATTGAATGTTATGAACTATCGTGAACGATTATATCTAAAAAAAGTAAATTGTCTATTGTTTATATTAATTTATAGTGTTTTTGACTAGCATGCATATCATTCCTTTTTCATTATGTTAATGTAGCTTAGAAGTAGATGTGCTCACTGGTTTTTGTAGTTCAATATTATTTTAAATTAATATTTTTGGTTTAATCATTTTATTAAAAGATGAATAATAGAAGAAATATTTCTAGAAGATTCGGATAAGTAGAAAAAAGGTAAATTTAACTGCATGCTTTAATTTGGCTCTTTCATTTGGATGATTAAATTTTAGTTATAAAAATAAAATTAGAAAATTTTGATTAAAATAATTTGACCGTCTGTTCCGATCTTCGAAAATTTCAATCCCCAGACTGGGTCATGAGATCATGTAGTCCACCCTAGAAGCTTCAAGCTAGGCGAACCAGCGCATCAAAGACTTATAACTGTCCATGTCCTTTTGGGGGAGCATTGTGCATCAAATACTTTTAATTGTCCACCATCTTTTTGGTGGAACATTTGATTTAAATTGGTAAGAGCCTTCATTGTTGAATAATTTTGAAAGAGAAGCTTACCAAGCTTACCAGCTTATCAACATAGAAATTGTAAGGATTATACCTTTTATAAATGGCCGATACCTCAAGAAATATTATGTGTAGTTGGTTAGGCCATAGTGCAAACTCATCAAGCCCGAAGGTCAAGCTTCCTCGCCGGCTCAATATGCTCTCCTAAGCCAAGTCAAATCTTATATATGGCCCTACTTAATAAGTTTTAAGTACCGAGCCAGGATGCAATCAATTCAACAAATTCAAAAATAAAGCTATGTTTGTGTTTGATTCGTTAATAATTCACCCCTTGATATTATAGATTTTCTTATTAGTCCAGTATATACTTTATATGTAGGAGAGGGCTAGAGTTTTCACGAGGTATTTAAGATGTTATAACTAACTTTTTCCTTTCATAATGAGTTTTTGTTATTGTTGGTGGTTCTGAGATCAAAGTTTCATCAACCTATTCCCCTTATATTTTCACGCTTCAGTATGTATTTTGTTCATATTTATTTGCAGCAAATTTAATCTTAATTACACTTTTGTCCATCGTGTTAATTGCAGGATTCTTAAGAAACCTCGAGTGCTTCATGTCTTCTGTGCTCTACTCTTAAATGTAAAACTAAACCATAATTTACAAAACTAAATGGTTTGGAGATATCTCGCCAACGGCTTGTGCATATTTTGTGGTTTCATACTTCATTTATTATCCTTCAATGCGAGGAATTGACATTCACATTTCAATAGGAGCATGCTTGATTAATTTTTGCAAGGTTTGCTTATATACCACTCTATTCTTATGTATTCACATATCTGTTTTCTATTATTTAAATGTTAGTCATTGTATATTTCACATATTTATTAGATAGCAGAAATATATTCAATGTATTATATTGGATTTCTGACTTTCTGCAAGCAATATTCTGAAGTTATTTATGATCATTTGTTTGAATTCTTTTTGAAACGGTGAATTTGAAGTTAGTGCATTACAATTTTTATTTCAGAAACAGTTGCAGTATAGCAAACGGATATGAAGTGTTTTATTGAGTTTTTATAAATGCGCATTTACATACGTACTACATAATTCTCATGTTTTTATATATTTAACGCTTAAATATTCATATTTGCTTGCATATCACTCAAATCTTTAACATCTGAACAAAAATATCATCACTGACATTTTAAATGTCAAATATAAATATTCATGAATGGAATTATGATAACAAGATGTTATAAATATAAATATTAAATTTCGGGTGTTATATATTTAAATACATAAGAATTGTGCGATATGTATGTACATTTTCCTTTTATAAAACTAGTATTGAATGATAAATGAGTATATTCATTGATTTAAATGATGGTGCCCTAGTTTTTCATTTGTTTGGATAAATCCAGGTATTCATTTGAGTGCTCTCTTAGCATTATATTGTATTACGCTTCGAAGCTGCAAATCTCTTATTACATAGATAGCACTCAAAATATTATTTATAAATCTAACTTCATTTTTCAAATTTTTACTAAAACACAAATTTATGGTTTTTTTTTTTTCATTTTTCTTAAATTTTTAGTGATTTGATTATGATGTGTAAAAGCATTAATTTCATTTGTTCAAAAAAATCATATAGATATTAGTTTTATAGATATTAATATTTTGAATGACAAATGCAAATAAGAAAAAAAACTTTCAAATGGTTTGTAATGGAGGAAAAATTATTGCGTACGGACACCGTATGTATCTCTGCCTGTGGTGTCCGATCCTGACCGTTCATTTTTTTTAAAAAATTTTAGATGGGGCTCACTGAAATATATCGGGACCGTAGATCAGGTGAATTATGGTCCGGATCGGACACCGCATGCAATCTATATGACATAATTTTTCGCAATGGAGGGTGGAAAGAGAGTTTTTTTTTTTTTTACTTTTTAAATTTTTTATTTTTATTTTTATTATTTTTACATTCTGACGTCGACTTCAATAATGAGTTTTGAATTGGGTGACCAAAATATTGACAATGTTGAACTTTGATGGGCCGCTCCTCGCTTTCTTGTGACTTCAGCATTTGCATTTTTTACCAACCCTATGATGATTATTAATTGCCTCTTAATTATTTAAAATTAATTTTATGATTATTTATCTTTTTATCTACGCTGCAAAACTCATTAAAGAAAGAAGTTTTTTGCCCCCGTTTTAGGAGAAATATTTGCGTACGTAAGACGTACGCAGAGTTGCGTACATATTAGGTTATTAAGAGGGTATATGTAGGTTACACTTAGGTTATACCCCTTATAATTTTTCATGTAACATAAGTATAATATACCTGTACAATTCGTATAACCTAATATGTACGCAACTGTATGTACGTTTTACGTACGCAAATATTTCTGCCGCTTTAGGGTGGGGGTCAGGGTTGTTGGAATTAAGGTCGGAAGCTTTATTTTTCGTTCTGCTATGAACATTTTAAAATAAAGCCGTATGATAGTTAAAATTGAATTTATATTTTTAAATTAATTTATTTTTAATATTTATATAAAAATAAATATTTTTGTTTCTTAATTTGTATAAATAAAATGAAGAGCATAAATAAAAAAAAGTGTTCACATACATACCACTCAATTTTTATGTATTTACATATCAAAACCTAAATTTTATTTTTTACTTTTTTCTTTTTTAACTTTTAAAAAGTGAAATACATTTTTCTTATGCATATTTAAGATAATGTGTGTGTGTGTGTGTTGAAATTTAGGTGTTAGATTTGTAAATACATTGGAAATAATTAGTATGCATCTAAATTTTCAATAAAACAAAGAATCACTTTACCCATCTCCAAATCAAAGTTCAAATAAAATCTCTAGCCATATGTAGATCAAAGGAGGAGTAACTTAAGGAGAAGAACCCTATAACAAAGAGATCACAACATAGAGTGCACCAATGAATCCATGACCCAACAAATCCATGATTTGAAGGATCAGATGTTAGATGTCATTTGAGGTGTGCTGACCCGAGATGACCCGAGAAGGGATCAGTACCCTCGTGATTAAGAGCTAGCACCTAATTGCAAAAGAGTTCCCCCAACCTTAGAAATGGAAGGCAACTCACAACACCCTGATAGTGCTAGAAAGATACCATTCGAGCTGGATCGGTTCAGACGTATTGAGGTAGCCTGTTAGCCTAAGAACACATTATTGAGGTAAATTTCTAGGTTGAACCCCCATAACGATTCAAGATATTAGCACTGGAGTCCTACAAAAGGCAAATCGATCCAGCCGACCATATAGTCTCATTTGATTCAACAGTGTGTCTGCTGAGGATCAAGAATAAGCTAAAATGACATCTTATCTTTGTCATGATGAGAGAGTTAGCCCTCAAGTGGTTCATTGGATTACGACTTGGAGTAACTACATTATTCACCAATTTCAAGCAGATGTTTGTGGCATAATTTGTCAGTGGAAAGAAGTCTCAGAAGAGGCTGAAGAAATAACCTTTCTGATGAGTGTTAGGCCTGCAACGACAGAAGATGCTATCTGAGGTTTTGGAACTGACTGGACATCACATATCGAACAAAGAGTATAACTCCACCTTTGCCTCCTTCAGAGCAGAATCCACCACCTATCACTCATAAAATAGGATCACTCGAGGCGAAGTATGGAGGCCAAGACACAATCCACATTCGTTTGCACATCCTCGCTTTGAAGACGTCTGACCGCCTCAAGATCATAAGGTGATCGATAGAATACAATCAGAGAGAATCATGCCTGGTATTCTGACAAGTATTCAACTCAATATATGGAATTTCCATCACCAGACTAGGAGATCCCAAGATCAACTTCATTGAGGGTCTCAATGGTCGAGATAATAGAGACCATCTAGAATAATGATTATTTCAAGAAAACACCCCTAATGAAAGCCAAAGCATACCTTCAAGATCCAAAAATGTATTGTGCCTAACATTGTGACAACAACCACGACACGGAGGAGTATCGACACCTTTGATGCCTAATTAAATATCTTCTGAAGGTCAAAAAATTGATGGAGTTTATGGTACCTGGGCCAATGAACATATGGCAGGGGAAGGCCTCAATTTAGGGAATAACAGATGAGATAGTCTGAGCGCATGAAATCCATAACGCTAGCGTAGTTTTTACAATTTTTAGAGGAGGAGGTTCTTCCTGTCGAGCCTGCCTAAAAAGTTTTTGGTCGAGAGATTTACGCACAGCTACCCATTCCCAAATGAAACTCACATCCTCCCATAACCTTCACAAACTATGACATTCCCCTTAAAAATAATCCCTATAATTATGCTATCATTATGACCACAATGATAACCAATTATCGGATCGATAGTATCCTCAGTGACACAAGAAGCTTCGTGAATGTCGTCTTCATGGGATATGTTGTCAACCATGCAATGCCCAATCTTTATTATTCATTTTATTAGTGTGTTTGTTCATTTTGTTCAATGTTGATGTTTTCTCTTTCTTATGATTGTGGTTTATCTGGGCTCATCGTATATGCAATTTAGGCTCTTTAAGGATATAAAAATCCTTTTTATAAAATCTTAATAATAAATTTGATTTCAATCAAATTTTAGGAGTAAAGTTATGTCATTTTAAAATGAGCATTTACTTTTTGTTTTTACTTTCGGCATGGTCTTTGGGGCAGTTTTAAAAATGTTATGCATAACATTAAAATCTCCCAAGTCATTTTAGTAGGGCCTCCACATTTAAGAATCCTTGGTAGATAATGACATCATTTGCATGTCACAAGGAGGAGTGCTTGTGCCTCTCCAAACTAACTGACTAAACATAAGATTTCTATTTAAGTGATCGTCTAGAATGATTAAGGATGTTAGAGTCCCTGACCAAGCTGGGGTATAAGTTCTTTGTGGGTAGTTTCAGCCTTGTAGTCAAATCCCTTTTTTTTATTCCAGAAGTATCCTCCCTGCTTTCAGAGGTTATAAGTCATATTTTTTTGTGAATCTCACATGTATAGGGTCATAGGGTTATAGGAGTTTCCTTCCTTTTGATTTTAGGGCTATCAAGATTCTTTGGATGACACAACACATGGGTTGTTGACAAGGGGTCTCAGGTCGGGCTGGATTGACTACCTTCACAATCTTGTACACCTAAGCTCTTAATAGAGTGGGATGATAAATCCATGGAATCCTGGCCCAGCTATATCTACCTGATTAAGACTTCCTCGCCTTTTTGTTGATGGAACCCTTTTTGAGCTCAATCTTCTCTTTAACATTTCATTGATGTCATCCAATAGGTCCTAATTAAGGATATGTCAACCCTTATTTGGGATATAGTGATTCACCCTTTGCTCTTATTGCCCGGTAGGCTTTGAAGCATAGGGAAGCCATGTTTGAGACAGCCTGGTTATTTCCTCAGCCTCGTTTGTTGATAAGCAACCGTCTCTTTATAAGATTTGATAGATTCACCCTCTCTCATTTGGGTCAATATAAGCTTTAAAAGCATCGAGATGCTCCAAGTCGAGATAACCATTTCTTTGAAATATGTATTTCACTAATTATCACAAATTGTAAGCAGGTTCTCTATTATCGAGAACTTTTTTGGGTATCCCCCAAGATATAATTAACCAAAGGGATACATCTCTTTGGGAGTTACTCTTGACCCTAGAACAAAGTAAAATTTTCGTTCTCAGGTTATATGGGTTATGTAGAGGACTTCTTCGTGTCCATCAAGATATCATTTTGGTCATATACTCTTGACCTATTGCACGAAGATAGCCTTACATAAGTTCATATTTTTTTAACTTAATTTGTTTGTTTATTTCATTTTATTTTCTTTCTTTTGATCCTTCCTCTTCTCTGATTCATCTCGATGGTTAAAAAAGGGTTATTTGGAAAGAAGAACTATGAGCTCATAAT